AATCAGCTAGCATCATAATGACATGATCAAATTCACACATAATAATATTAACCTTAAATGTAAATGGGCTAAATTTCCCAATTAAAAGACACAGACTGGCAAATTGGATAGAATCAAGACCCATCAGTGTGCTGTATTCAGGAGGCTCATCTCACATGCAGAGACACACAAAGGCTCAAAATAAAGGGATAGAGGAATATTTGCCAAGCAAATGGAAAGAAAGAAAAAAAAAAAAGCCGGGGTTGCAATCCTAGTCTCTGATAAAACAGACTTTAAACCAACAAAGATTTAAAAAAGGCAAAGAAGGGCACTACATAATGGTAAAGGGATCAATGCAACAAGAAGAGTTAACTATCCTAAATATACATGCCCCCAACACAGAAGCACCCAGATTCATAAAGCAAGTTCTTAGATACCTACAAATAGACTTAGACTCCTACACAATAATAGTGGGAGATTTTAACATCCCGTTGTCAATATCAGACAGATCAACGAGACAGAAAATTAATAAGGATATTCAGGACTTTAACTCAGCTCTGGACCAAGTGGACCTACCAGACATCTACTGAACTCTCCACCCCAAATAAACAGAATATACATTCTTCTCAGTACCACATAGCATTTATTCTAAAATTGACCACATAATTGGAAGTAAGACCCTTCTCAGGAAATGCAAAATAACTGAAATCATAACCAACAGTCTCTCAGACTACAGTGCAATCAAATTAGAACTCAGGATTAAGAAACTCACTCAAAACCACACAACTACATGGAAACTGAACAATCTGCTCCTGAATGACTACTGGGCAAATAAAAAAATTAAGGCAGAAATAAATAAGTTATTTGAAACCAATGAGAACAAAGACACAACATACCAGAATCTCTGGGACACAGCTAAAGCAGTGTTTAGAGGGAAATTTATAGCACTAAATGCACTGACACCCTAACATCACAATTAAAAGAACTACAGAAGCAAGAGCAAAGAAATTCAAAAGCTAGCAGAAGACAAGAAATAACTAAGATCAGAGCAGAACTGAAGGAGATAATGAAAAACCCTTCAAAAATCAATGAATCCAGGAACTGGTGTTCTGAAAAGATTAACAAAATTGATAGACCACTAGCCAGACTACTAAAGAAGAAAAGAGAGAAGAATCAAATAGACACGATAAAAAATGATGAAGGGGATATCATAACTGATCCCACAGAAATACAAACTACCATCAGAGAATACTATAAATAACTCTACGCAAATAAACTAGAAAAACTAGAAGAAATGGGTAAATTCCTGGACACATACACCCTCCCAAGACTAAACCAGGAAGAAGTTGAATCCCTGAATAGACCAATAACAAGTTCTGAAATTGAAACAGTAATTAATAGCCTACCAACCAAAAAAAGCTCAGTACCAGACGGATTCACAGCCAAAGTCTACCAGAGGTGCAAAGAGGAGCTGGTACCATTCCTTCTGAAACTATTCCAAACAACAGAAAAAGAGGGACTCCTCCCTAACTCATTGTATGAGGCTAGCATCATCCTAATACCAAAACCTGGCAGAGACACAACAAAAAAAAGAAAATTTCAGGCCAATATCCCTGACGAACATCGATGCGAAAGTCCTCAATAAAATACTGGCAAAGGGAATCCAGCAGCACATCAAAAAGCTTATCCACCACGATCAAGTTGGGTTCATCCCTGGGATGCAAGGCTGCTTCAATATACTTAAATCAATAAACGTAATCCATCACATAAACAGAACCAATGACAAAATCCACATGATTATCTCAACAGATGCAGAAAAGGCCTTTGTTAAAATTCCACACACCTTCCTGCTAAAAACTCTCAATAAACTAGGTATGAGTCATTTATGACAAACCCACAGCCAATATCATACTGAATTGGCAAAAGCTGGAAGCATTCCCTTTTAAAACCAGCACAAGACAAGGATGTCCTCTCTCACCACTCCTATTCAACATAATATTGGAAGTTCTGGCCAGGGCAATCAGGGAAGAGAAAGAAAGGAAGGGTATTTAAATAGGAAGAGAGGAAGTCAAATTGTCTCTGTTTGCAGACAACATGATTGTATATTTAGAAAACCCCATCGTCTCAGCGCAAAATATCCTTAAGCTGATAAGCAACTTCAGCAAAGTCTCAGGATACAAAATCAGTGTGCAAAAATCACAAGCATTCCAATACACCAATAATAGACAAGCAGAGAGCCAAATCACGAGTGAACTCCCATTCACAATTGCTATAAAGAGAATAAAATACCTAGGAATCCAACTTAAAAGGGACATGAAGGACCTCTTCAAGGACAACTACAAACCACTGCTCAAGGAAATAAGAGAGGACATAAATGGAAAAACATTCCATGCTTATGAATAGGAAGAATCAATATCGTGAAAATGGCCATACTGCCCAAAGTAATTTATAGATTCAATGCTATCTCCATCAAGCTACCACTGACTTTCTTCACAGAATTAGAAAAAACTACTTTAAGTTTCATATGAAACCAACAAAGAGCCCATATGGCCAAGACACTCCTAAGCAAAAAGAACAAAGCTGGAGGCATCATGCTACCTGACTTCAAACTGTACTACAAGTCCACAGTAACCAAAACAGCATGGTACTGGTACCAAAACAGATATATAGACCAATGAAACAGAACAGAGGCATCAGAAATAACACTACACATCTACAACCACCTGATCTTTGACAAACCTGACAAAAACAAGCAATGGGGAAGGGATTCCTTATTTAATAGTATTGGGAAAACTGGCTAGCCATATGCAGAAAACTGAAATTGGACGCCTTCCTTACACTTTATACAAAAATTAACTCAATGGATTAAAGACTTAAACATAAGCTCTAAAACCATAAAAACCCTAGAGGAAAACTTAGGCAATACCATTCAGGACATAGGCACGGGCAAAGACTTCATGACTAAAACACCAAAAGCAATGGCAACAAAAGCCAAAATTGACAAATGGGATCTAATTAAACTAAAGAGCTTCTGCACAGCAAAAGAAACTATCATCAGAGTAAACAGGCAACCTACAGAATGGAGAAAATTTTTGCAGTCCATCCATCTGACAAAGGGCTAATATCCAGATTCTTCAAGGAACTTAAACAAATTTACAATAAAATCAACCCCATCAAAAAGTGGGTGAAGGATATGAACAGACACTTCTCAAAAGAAGATATTTATGCAGCCAACAAACATGGAAAAAAGCTCATCATCACTGGTCATTAGAGAAATGCAAATAAAAACCACAATGAGATACCATCTCATGCCAGTTTGAACGGTGATCATTAAGAAGTCAGGAAACAACAGATACTGGAGAGGATGTGGAGAAATAAGAACACTTTACACTGTTGGTCGGAGTGTAAATTAGTTCAACCATTGTGGAAGACAGTGTGGCAATTCCTCAAGGATCTAGAACCAGAAATACCATTTGACCCAGCAATCCCATTACTGGCTATATACCCAAAGGATTATAAATCATCCTACTATAAAGACACATGCACACATGGTTTATTGCAGCATTGTTCACAATAGCAAAGACTTGGAACCAACCCAAATGCCCATCTATGATAGATTGGATAAAAGAAAATGTGACACATACACACCATGGAATACTATGCAGCCATAAAAAAGGATGAGTTCATGTCCTTTGCAGGGACATGGATAAAGCTGGAAACCATCATTCTCAGCAAGCTAACACAGGAACAGAAAACCAAGCACCATATATTCTCACTCATAAGTGGGAGCTGAATAACGAGAACACATGGAGACAGAGGCGGAACATCACACACTGGCACCTATCAGGGACTGGGGAGCTGGGGAGGGAGAGCATTAGGAGAAATACCTAATGTATATGACAGGTCGATGGGTGCAGCAAAACACCAACGCACATGTATACCTATGTAACAAACCTGCAAGTTCTGCACATGTATCCCAGAACTTAAACTATATTTAAAAAAAAAAAAAGTTAATTATGCCGTCTTATCTTAGACATCCCTTCACTTACTTTCCCGGTTCACTGCCTTCCTTCCTGTCATAATCCTTCTGCTTGAAATAGACGTTGTCAAAAGCCTAATTTCAGCTGAGAAAAATGTCCTCTTCTCCCACCCTTCCCATTCAATGGATTAAGGATAAAAGCAGACAAACAGATTGAACATAGAAACTCTGAAATTATTTACAATTTCAGAATCAGTAATCAAAGCAAGAGCTCCACAGTGTTCTTACCTAACTGCCTGGCACTGGGTCTTAGCAACTTCCCTATGAACTCAGGTTCATTTAAAAAACTTCCCGTAGTTTCGATTCAAAGGAATCCCTGACCAATACTGCCACCTACTGATGAGTAGGTGAGAAACCAGGACAATCAGAGAGTGCAAACCAGTTTAATGAAAACGAGGAAAGACAATAATGAAAAATCCCATGAAGTTGGTAAAATAATCTGCCTTTCCCAAAGAGTACTAGTAAGGAGTTTACACCGAATTCTACAGCAGCATTAAGCAAAGATTGTGTAAGTGCAAAGAATTACAATGACCTCTGATATAGTCTGGCTCTGTGTCCCCACCCGAATCTCATCTTGAATTGTAATCTGAATTGTAATCCCCACATGTTGGGGGAGGGACCTTGTGGGAGGTGACTGAATCATGGAGGCAGTTCCCCGTGCTGTTCTCGTGATTGGGAGTTCTCACAAGATCTGATGGTTTTGTGAGGGGCTTTTCCCCCCTTCACTCTGCACTTCTCTTTCTTCTCCGTCCTGGCGCCATATGAAGGACATGTTTTCTTACCCTTCCGCCATGACTGTAGGTTTTCTGAGGCCTCCCCAACTATGTGAGTCAATTAAACTTCTTTTCTTTATAAATTACCCAGTCTCAGGTATTTCTTCATAGCAGTGTGAGAACAGATTAATGAAGCCTCTTTCAGAAAGGAGCATCACCAACGTTAACAGGACAACCAGTCCTCCCTTAAGAGTTCAAATGCTTCAAACTCAAGGCAAATATATTTGTTTTTATTTTGTCTCATACACACACAGAAAAACAAATAAAAATCTAGCCTGAGACTTAAAATTCACTAAGGGAAAAAAATCACAGCAAAAGCAGTAGGATAATATCAGGATATTTATATTCAAGGATCTATAGTATCAAGCTTTTTTTCTCTTTAGATCCAGGCATGGTGGCATGCACCTGTGGTCCTAGCTACTTAGGAGACTGAGGCAGGAGGATTGCTTGAGCCCCAGCACTTGAGGCTGCAGTTAGCCACGAATGCGCTACTGTACTCCAATCTGGACAACAGAGCAAGACCCTGTCTCTAAAAAAATAAAGATTTTTTTAAGTCCATATTTTTTGGATATTATTCAATATCGATTAACTTGGGTCATGAGTTCTAAAAGGCATTCAAAATAAAATGGCATTTTCACTTTTTAAAAATTAAGATCTGATACTTTTTCATGATCAAATATATGTTGTGTCTCCCTCCTGACCCTCCTTTTCAGGTAGGTAGCAAACATTGTGAAAATTAGTTGGCATAGGCTTCAGAAAACCTTTTACTTAAATCATCATCCTCACTGCTATCTTTTTTTTTTTTTTTTTGAAGTCATATACACCTAAAATGTTCTAAGCACTTAATTTTTCTTTTATGTTGTTAATTGTTTTCAACCCACTAATAAGTACCATTTTGCTAATTGGGAAATTAATACATATTGTCAAAGAAACAGACTAAACTGTATTTTGAAAATCCTAAAAAATAAAAATTTGTAAAAGGAAAAAAACTAAAGATGAAAACACATTTATATCTCTGACATCTTCCTACTTTAAAAATGACAAAGAAAATAGCGGAAATAAAATAGAGGTGACTTTTAATAACAAAAAGAGTCCATTTCTCAATATTAATAAAGAGCAAAAATACTCATAAACACATAGGATTAAAAGTAATGATTCCAAGAGAAGATAATTTAGAAAAAGGCATTTAATTACAAAATTTTCTTTTAAATAAAAAAAGCAATGGCACGAATCACCACAAAATTATTTAAGTGATCATATCCACCGGCTGTTCTTGTAATTATATGCTAAAAATTTATGACTGTTCTCATTAACACCATTCCCCCCCTTAATTAGAGACATCAAGAGCTTCTGAGAAAGTGTAATTTTTCCTAAAGTACTACTAAAAGTATCATAAACACCGTTTGTGCAGCATTCATTTACATCACCTTTTATTTACTACATTCTAAACTCATAAAATATTTAACATTTCTCTACTTCATTTCTCTTATTTACAATACAGAGGCTCATCTCTTGTCACAATATGGTTTGTGCATTAAAATCCCTGGGAATAGGCTTTTGACAATATTTTAATAAATTGACTCCTATTATTTAAAATAAGAACACAAACAAAAGCTTGTTCACTCAGAAGAATAACTCTTCCAGTAGACTTATTCAGGAGTTTAAAAAAAAATCCCTCTTTAAGTAAAATACTTTCTTCAACCATTACTGGATTATACTATCATGCATATTTATAATGCTAATATGACAACACGTAAAGCCAGCTATGACTTTTAAAATTCCATTTAGAAGAGTACAGTAGACAGAAAGTGCTTTGGCTTTCACTCTCTTGTTATCCATAATCCAGTTATTATTTCACATGGGTATATTTTATTTATTCTTAGTATAGAAGTATTTAATGGTTCAGTAATAACTGGCAGCTTCTGACAGTCCTATTTTCTTGATCGCTGATACAATTCTGTGAACATAAGTCAGATGAACTGAAAAAAAATGCAAATCACCTCCTGTGATACAGCAGGAAAAGGTGGAACGTTATTATTTGAGCAAATGATTCAAAGAGATGAATACTAACATTCTGTCGTGACAGGAATACTGTGAAATTAGGTATGTTTTAATGTGCTGTCTTCACAACTTGCCATACCTGGTATTCGTTATCTTTTTGGTCAAAAAGCAAACCTAACTGGGAAAGGGCAGATGTGAGGAGGTAATAGAGGGGAGAGAGCATATATTACAGTATACATGAGTTTAGGAGAAAAGAGTGGGAAGAGAATACATTTTCACATATTAAAAAAAAACAACTATGTCACATCTGGACACATTTCACAGAGCATATGAAAACTGCCCATAAGCTAATTAAGCCTCTTCACTCTCACTCCAGAAATTTTTTTTCTAATAATAACATTAATAATAATTAATATAATTCTGGCAGCAGCACAAATCTATGACTTTTTAAGGCTTGAGAGAGTCATTTTTAAATAGTTGGGTACAACTGAATGATAAGAGTCCTGCCACTTCTTTTATTTACACTCTTGACTCAGCAAGAATTATTACAGAAGTCCACGTGGGTATCTGCAGCTTGTTAAGTCTTCTACAATGGCTTTGACTTTATAACCCACTCAGCATTTGGGTTAAGCTGATATAAATCCTTCATGTAAGTGTCATCATCAAGGCAGCGTTCCCCTGTTAAAATAGATGTTGTGTCAGTTTAATACAGCAGGTAGATTGGTATGCAATTTGAAACTTAAGCTTAATTATTTAACTCTTAAATCTTGGGCTTCAACGTACTTATTCTACTTTGGGAGGCTGAGGTGGGCAGATTGCTTGAGATCTGGAGTTCGAGATCAGCCTGGGCAACATAATGAAACCCCGTCTCTACAAAAAATACAAAAATTAGCTAAGCATGGTGGCTCGCACCTGTAGTCCCAGCTACTCAGGAGGCTGAGGTGGGAGGATGGCTTGAGCTCAGGAGGTGGAGGTTGCAGTGAGCCGAGATTGCGCCACTGCACTCCAGCGTGGGTGACAGAGGCAGACACTGTCTCCAAAACAAAACAAATCAAAAAAAAACTTCTCATTCTTTCCTGTTTCTCAAAATATTGTAAAAATTGGCCAACAATTGGAAAACTAAAATTGATAGTCTTTCTCTAAATGAATAGGTTTCAAATTAATTCAGGAAGCTGAAAATACTTTGTATGATAGGCTTTTAAATGGTTCCTTAAAAGCTTAATCATCTTATTAGGAGGGGCAATGGTTCTGAATCCACCTAAGAAACTACACTTAATTCCCAAGATCTAAAAATAAAATAAGAAATCAAATATATTAATATTTAAATAACCTTTACTAATAGAGTTAACAATTCCAGGTTTCTAGTGTCATGGCCCATTTAAAGAATAAGCCTTCACATTCCTATCTTTAACTTTCAATAATTTACTAACATTTTTAATTCCCACAAAAACATTCTACAAAATTTATTGTTTTATGTGTGTGTGTGTGTGTATGTGTGTGTGTGTGTGTGTGTGTGTGTGTATATATATATATATTTTTTTTTTTTTTTTTTTGAGACAGAGTCTCACTCTGTTGCCCAGGCTGGAGTGCAGTCGCCTGATCTCAGCTCACTGCAAGCTCTGCCTCCCAGGTTCACGTCATTCTCCTGCCTCAGCCTCCTGAGTAGCTGGGATTACAGACACCCGTCACCATGCCCGGCTACTTTGTTTTTTGTATTTTTAGTAGAGACAGGGTTTAACGATCTCCTGACCTTGTGATCCACCTGCCTTGGCCTCCCAAAGTGCTGGGATCACAGGTGTGAGCTACCGTGCCCGGCCTGTAAAATTATTTTTAATTACTATTTTGAACTTAACATTATTTATTTCTTAATAATTTTACCCTTACCATTTCCAAGAGTCAAAAAAGAGAAAAAGATTATTTCAAATTTTTAAAGAGATGGGTAAGACTCACTGATAATTACAAAAGGGTAAAATATAAAACATGGTCAAAATTAATTCATTCCATTTTTTAAATTACTAATGTGAATTTGAGTGTGTGTGCATGTGTATAAAATTTAGCAGTAAATCAACTATGGCAAAAGTAAATCTGCTTTTACTAAAAATATCTAATACTATACTATAATAAAGTGTTATCTTAGCCTTATATAAGCTCAACTACTTCCTTTACTATGTGACATGAGTATATTAAAAAGAAGAGAGTTTTGAAAAACTTGCATCATTAACCATTCCAGGAGTTATTCTTACTGTATAGGGAACTTGCCTTTGCTGAAATTGAACATAGATGGGCATTTGTACAGAAGGAGCTCAAACAAGAGCCTGAAGAGAAAGGTCAAACCATTAAATAAATTCACAATATTCAGCAACTATCTAAAGCATGGTATATTTTACTTCTAATTTCCTGTTCTTCCTCCAAAGACATAAATAATAGCCACTGGCAATATCCAAACAGCATATGAAATGCAAAGAGAAAAAAATCCTGCTTACCAATATTTCCTCCAATTTCATACAAAAAAACTTCTCCTTTCTTGAGAGTCTGGGCAACCCCACTATGAGGGACAAAACAAAGGGATTACTTGTATCATCAAACGGCTTGCAAGTAAATCACTTTCACGTGCTTGGGGAATTCTGCCTGGTATGGAAAATTCATAACTTAGGCACACTGTAATTATCTACACGTTTGTATTTTCCCATCTGTTAAATGTACCCAATAGGTAATAAAAGTGTCACACCTGTACATTAAGATAAACAAATGGAATTATACATCTGAAGGGAAAATAGTAAATCAGTATCTAAATTTGTAAAATTCAAAAGAAAAGTTAATGTAACATTTCAGCTGCCAATCAAATTATTAACATGATTATCCACTTTGTATACAAGCCTAAATGGTCCTCATAAAACTATTAAAAGAAATGTTTCCACCTTAGTTTTCACATTATCCTTATTCAATAAGTATTTATCATGAATTTGCTGTGCTGACAACTCCAGTAGTGTGCAAGATGCATATAAAGAATAAGACATGCTTCTGGCTGGGTGTGAACCCAGCACTTTGGGAGGCCAAAGCAGGTAGATCGCTTGAGCCCAGCCTGGGCAACATGGTAAAACCCCGTCTCTACCCAAAATACAAAAAATTCAGCCAGGCATGGTGGCGAGCGCCTGTGATCCTAGCTACTCGGGAGGCTGAGGTGGGAGGACTGCTTGAGCCCAGGAGATGGACGTTGCAGTGAGCTGAGATTATGCCACTGCATTCTAGCCTGGGAGACAGAATGAGACCCTGTCTCCAAAAAGACCAAAAAATAATTTTAAAAAAGTGTTTAAAGATTTACACTCTTCAAAGAATAAAGTGTTCCAGAACAAGCTTCAAACATAAAAACTGGTGAAACTCAGTGGCTTTCAAATCTTTCTGTAAAAGAATTACCTGAGAAACCTGCCAAAAATTCAGACCGAGAGCTCTAGAAACTCAGATTTAGCTGGTCTAGAATAAAGCCCAAGAAACTGCTTTTCAAATGCTCTATAGTGGATTCTGAAGCATGGCAAGGTTAGTAGACCACTGAGATAAGGCCCTGAAGACACGCTCTCTGGAACTGAGAAGAGAAAATCAGGTCTGACTTGTATTCGAGCCATTAGGAAGAACATGGTATAGCAGCAGCCTCCTCACCACCCACGGAATGGCTTCTGGTTCTCCTGCTTTCTCTCCCTGCCCTGTGGTCCCTGGCACACTGAAGGGCTCTCTGGGTCCTCAGGCTATGTTCCACCTGCTGCACTGCATCTGATCCACTTTGTTTCCAACCAGGGTGTAGGTTTATCTTTTAAATTAAGTAATTTAATCATTACTATTTTTGTTTTTAATCTAGTACATAACACAATCAACTATGGGTCTAAAGAGAGTCCCTATTTCTGTGAAAACTAAATTGAATGTTTCAGGAGACTTGATTTAAAGAAAGACATCTAGTTAGATATTGCTCTCAGACTGATTCTCAAGTATCTGTGTTCCACTTTAAAGAAACAGGAACTAGATTTCCTGGCATACTCAGATTTTTGCATAATGCTAATCAACAAATTCATCATTAAAGAAAAGGCAATAATCCTTTATCAAAGAATGAATGAATGTGCAATTTATTATACATATATTGTATGTCATTCATGTATCTATTGGCTTCAGTTGAGGAGGTGGGGGGAGAAAAAGAATGGAAGGATATAGAGTTTCCAACTGCCCCAACACAGGTGGAATACAAATGGAAGAAGCACAGGAATGTGGTGGAAGAAATATATAAACATTTACTGAGAATTTCACTTATTATGTGGCCCAGACAGACAGTGCTATATGTGCACGGTCATTTTCCTAGTTAATTACAATAATAGACGCTATTTTGGTCCATTCTTATAAATGAGGAAGTTGGACTTAAAGAGATAAAAACTAGCTGAAGGTGAAACAGAAATAGTTAGCTTTGAAATCCAGATTGCATCCGCAAGCATAGGGAAAGGGGCTGAGGACTGGGGGCGGAAGTGAGGTAAATGGAGGAGAAGTTTACCAGACTTCCATCTAGGTGGAGAAGGATAGGAGGAAGAGCGGGAAGAAGATACCCTAATCCGGGTGTAGCAAATGCTTATTTAATACAAACACAACAAGCAGGAAATCCAAAATTGTCAGAGGATAGTTGTCACAAGTTGGTGCTTTCTGTAACAATATAGCTATGATTGTTTCATGCTATACCTTAAATATTAAAGTCACAGTTGAATGTGGAGTACAGCTTCATAGTCTCACACTATTAGCAAGTAGAGGAACAAAAGCACAGACTAAATTGAGCACTTGGGTCCTGAAAGTAAATGTAAATTAACTGTGTCTGGCTGGAAACAGCTGCTTATATCTGAAGTCTGGCCAGGTGTTCAGGTACACATTCTGGGAGACAATGAGAGCATGGCTGGTGGGAAGAATGGCAAAAGTTAGTATTTACTAAGTCAAAGTAGGGAGCAGAGAGGAAGTGGACTGGCTTTGCAGAAGCTGCAAAACACTATGGGGAGCAAAGACATTTGAGAACTTCCAACTGCCCCCAGGACATAATCCCCCAAAATCCATCTACTCTCAGACTCTGCACTAGTGGTTCCCAGATCTATGGTGCTCTGTAGATCCTCCAGCCAGCGTGGAGAATGGTTACGGGACTGCCTTCGGAGTGAAACCACAGATTGAGAATTCCAGTTCTACCACCTATGAAAAAATGTGTGACCTTGCAAATCTCTGTTTTCTTATCAGTGAAACAGACGCAATAATAGCACTTACTTCAGAGTGCTGTTTTGAGGGACGTTTACACTGGCTTATTGAAGCCTAGATATTACCAATAAACCTCTCTCTCATTTCATCACCATCTGTTAGCTGCACGGATTCATCCTTTCTCCCAGTTTATAAACCCTAAGGGAAGGTACTTTAAAATATATGTTTATATCTCCCCTTCCATTTATGGTACTAGAAGTATGTAACATGTTTGTTCTGTTTAAGGCCCTGTGCTAGAACAGAAACATATTACATACTTCTAGTACCATATATTAAAATCGGAGAGGCTTTGGCGGAAAGCTTGATTGAAGCCCCCAAATGTTAGAATGAGGAGATCAAATTCAATGAAAGACCAAGAGAGAGTATTCGTAAACTGAGATGCCAGTGCCCTGGATTTCCCTCTGTTTTTAAACATTTAGTTTATTTCAGTGACTGAAAATGAGGCTGGAGAAGGCATGAAAACATGACTTCAGCTAAAAGAAAGAATTCAAAGGGCAAAACCTGAAAATTCAATATACTTGTTAGAATCTCTAAAATTTAAGAAAAGACACTACAAAGTGTTGTGGAAAGGGCATACTCTAATATAGTGAGAGGGATGCTAGCAGCTTTCCAACGACTTTCCCTGCCCCGTCAACCCCAAAATATAGATGAAGGGCCTGTTGTCCTTAATGAGGATGGTATGTTCTCCCCTTGAGACTTCAGCGCTCAAAGGCCTGGTTTTCCTCTTTCAATTCTTTATGGTTTGTTTTTAAATTTGACCATTTTGAAATTCATTATATTTCATAGAAAAAGTTGTGTCTTTTCTTTATTTTAATGCCACTGCATCCTAATTAGTAATTTTTCTTACAGCCTACAAACAGTAATTAACCTCCAATCAACATATCCTGGAAAGAATATTGAGTGGTCTCGCTTGGCAAGCCCATCATAGGCCCCAGTGAAGGAACGCTCAGAAATCCTGCTTGAATCAAGCTCAACCTGAACACAAGCCACATCAAACGAACTAAACTCATTCTAACAGTCTAATGGTTAAGTCTGCTGTTCTCTTCTTCTGGGAACACAACATTTTTAAGCATTTCATACTACCCCACAATTAAAAAAAGGAAAAAAAAAAGCAGCAGCGAAGGGGAGAGAGAGAGCAAGTGAGTTATGCCATGGAATAATTAACACAAAACAGGCCTCTACCTTTCTTGGCTGAGAAACCTGGCAAGTACATCACTGGCTTTTAGTTCTTCAGTTAGCTGTATTGCCATGGAAACTTTCGAAAGATGGGGAGCTTGCACTCGAATCACTCCCTGAGGAACGTCAGCCTGCAAAGCAATAATGACACTGGAACAAAGCTGGCAGCAGCTGGAACGTGTAACTCTACAATGCATTATATAGTAAGTGTGCTTAACTACTACACATTTTACTTCACTACATAAAAACCTTAACTACTGTATAATGTAATTTGCTAAATTACATCAAACCTCAAATATCCTCTTAATGGTGATAGGGGAACTTTATAATGCCTGTGCAGTAATGCTTAATTATTTTTAAAGATGTAAAGAATGACAGCAATAACCATTACTGCCATATTAAGTGCTGATTTCTGAGTATTATCTACTAGAGGGTGCTTCCTCATGTAGCAATTTATGAAATTGAATCAGAAAGAAGTTACTTTGTGTGCTATTGCAATATGTACATTTGGAAAATCTTCCTGGACATTCACAAAATTTCACAAAAATTTTTTTGTCTCTGAATGTTTTATAAAAAAGAAACATGCTTTTCTATTTATATTATGTCTGTTCCCCATTTGGTTAATGAGCTCATGCTTTTTGGCTATACACTTTGAACTTACGATGACCCCTTCTAAATCTTTTGCCCATGGATGTGAAAAACATTTTATGGATTCGAGGATCCCAGTGAAAGTTTATGAGGTTTGTAATACCAAAATGTCAGCTATAGCATTAGAAATATTAGGCTTAATTAATTCCTAAATGATTTTGCTAAAATAAATACTATTATTTATAACCATTATGACTTAGACCTTAGAATAAACAGTAAGCATAAATCATGTTTAAAAGATAATGCTTTAAAAAATATAAATACCCTGTTCAATTGAACCAAAATTTATTAAGCATCTACTGAGTACTGGATATTGTACTATGTTTACTTATGTAGTAATAAGAAACAAGTCCTTTACTGCATAATATTATTTTATGCTCACAATATCATGTCCTTTTTTTTTCTTTTTAATGTACACAGTCTTGAATTTTTTTTTTTTTTTTTAATAAACATCTCGGGAGTTTGAGACTAGCCTAGCCAACATGGCAAGACCCTGTTTCTACTAAAATTAAAAAAAATTAGCTGGGTATGGTGGTGCCCACCTGTAATCCCAGCTACTTGGGAGGCTGAGGTAGGAGAACTGCTTGAACCCAGGAGGCGGAGTTTGCAGTGAGCCAAGACGCACTCCAGCCTGGGAGACAGAGTGAGACTCCATCTCAAAAAATTAATTAATTAATTAAATATCAAGCAGAGATATACAACAGATGCCATTAATCTGATTTCTTTCAAAGTTCAACAAAAATAATATACCTTTAGAATCAGGCTCTATAAAAATGTAGGTACCCTAAAAGATTTAATATTGCTTCTCAGTAATATCAGAGATTTAGTGTGGGAATAACAAGAAAAAGAAGCAACACTGTATAAGACTGTACAGTGAATATGGGACTGTGTAAGGCCACGGACTGCAAGCAACAGCTAGACCTGCAAAGGTATCACAAAGGACCTGACCATCAACCTCAGAAATCCTGCTGCAGAGTGGGTGGTGCCCCACCTGCCTCCTTCCTCTGACCAATCAGTGAAGGGCCACAGAACACATTACTCCAAACCTTAACAAAAATAGACAAAGGCTTCCAGGGCCTTGCACTCATGATTTTGCTGGGCTAACTTTGGTCATAGCATCCTCTAATAATATGCAGGACATATTATGCTCAATTCAATCTGTGAAGGACAACCTAATTCCAACCTCCCAATTCCAACCTGTGCCCAAATCCCTCAATTCCTGCTTCATCTTTCTATCCAGCCTGAATCCTTGGCTTGGTTTTTTGACTTATTGATACTTTAATCTATGACCTTGACCTCATCCCTAGGATACAAGTATAATTTCCTCTGTCCTTGATTCTGTGACAGGTTTTATTTTCACTTGTAACACTTTGGAAAACATGCTGCTTCTTGCAATGGATGGGGCATTTCATGTGGTACAAAGCAGTTATTAAATCAATGGTGTAACATACAACTCAGGGACTCCATGAACTTCTCCCTGGGGTTTGAACTCTAGGTTATTTCCCACTATGGCCATTTAACCTGTTCGCATGGCCTCACCTATCTGCTGCCTCATAGAGGGTGGAAAATAATAAGTGGCACGGGCACCTTTAACGTTAGACTGAAAATTGTAATAGCAACATCTGAAGCATTGAGACTATGCTCGTAAAACCCCAATCCACCTTGTCTACTCAGTAAGCACAACAATATTAGTATTTTGGATTCTGTTAGTTTATCACTATTATTACTATTGTTTTGTGGAGGGACCTGAATGGCAGGCTAGAGTTTGCAGATAGCCATGTACTTTATATTGAGGTTAAAAGTTAGGAAATCCTGGTTAAGTCATAGTGTCAAATATCCTTATATATAGGTTTATCAGGGACAGAAATTGCTCCCATGGTCACATCTTATCCAACCCTAGAATATCAAGGCAGTCAAATCTACACTGACATTTAAAGTGAAGATGATTGGATTAAGTTTTTATATAGAGAAAGTCCACAATAAATGAGTTGCAAAACCAAAATGATTCAGAAAATAATATATTATCATAGAGAGTTCAGGGATATGGTAACCTTAAGTCAGCTCCTTGCCTTTCCCCCCACTATTTCTTGTAGCACCGCCTATTGTTTAAATAAAAAGGCCCATCAGCACTCCAAGCTTTCCTATCTTTGTGTACGTTCTACTCCCCCTCCCAAATCTCTCTCTGCTAACCATTTTTCAAGGCTCAGCTCAAATACCTCAAACTCCATGGACTCTTCCATGCTCCACAGGGTCAAAAGAAATCTCTTCATTCTCATTCTTATAAAGGAGCGCTGACTCTCCTTTATAAGGGTCCTACTATATGATCTGTATTCTGGTTGTATGCCACATGTCTTACTGTTATATGTAGCCACCCATCAATGTTTATTGATTAAATGAATCATTCAAAATTACTTATTTTTTGTTTTTACTAACAATTACAACATAAACAAAGTAAAATTAATCTAGAATAAAAGAAAGTATGCAAAGGGGTATCTCCTTAATGGCAAAAAATCATCTTTGGAACATTGTCTAAAAGAAACAAGTTAAGGTGCCTCTATCCACCATATGGTATTCCCTCCACTACCAAGAAAAGACAAGAAGGGAAAGAAAGCAGAGAAAAGGAATTAAGTATGCTACAAGAGACAATTCAGTCACTTACTTCTGTAGAGAGTCAAAGAGAAAAGCCAGAGTTACTAACATTAGCATGTACCTGCTTGGGGATGTAGTCTCTTTTCCCCTCCAACACCTCTCATGAAGAGCTGAATGTATTAGTCTCTTCTCGTGCTGCTATGAAGAAATACCCAAGACTGGGTAATTTACAAAGAAAAAACGTTTAATTGATTCACAGTTCCTCATGGCTAGGGAGGCCTCAGGAAACTTACAATCATGGCAGAAGGCACCTCTTCACAGGGCAGCAGGAGAGAGAAATGTCAAACAAAGGGGGAAAAGTCCCTTATAAAACCATCAGATGTCATGAGAACTCACTCGTTATCACAAGGACAGCAGCATAAGGGTTACTACTGCCATGATTCAATTACCTCCTACCAGGTGCCTCCCACAACACATGGGGATTATGGAAACTACAATTCAAGATGAGATTTGGGTGGGGTATCATTCCATCCCCAGCCTCCCAAAATCTCATGTCCTCACATTTCAAAACATAATCATGCCTTTCCAACAGTCCCCCAAAGTCTTAACTCATTCCAGCATTAACCAAAAAGTCCAAGTCCAAGGCCTCATCTGAGACAAGGCAAGTCTCTTCTGCCTATGAGCCTGCAAAATCAAAAGCAAGTTAGTTACTTCCCGGATACAATGGGGATACAGGCAATGAGCAAATGCACCCATTCCAAATGGGAGAAATTGGCCAAAACAGGGGGCTACAGGCCCCATGCAAGTCTGAAATCCAACAGGGAAGTTGCCAAATCTTTTTTTTTTTTTTTCCAATGGAGTCTTGCTTTGTCACCCAGGCTGGAGTGTAGTGGCGTGATCTCAGCTCACTGCAACCTCTGCCTCCCGGGTTCAAGTGATTCTCCTGCCTCATCCTCCCGAGTAGCTGAGATTATAGGTGCTTGCCACCATGCCCAGCTAAATTTTGTATTTTTAGTAGAGACAGGTTTCACCATGTTGGCTGCTGGTCTTGAACCCCTGACCTCAAGTGATCCACCCGCCTTGGCCTCCCAGAGTGCTGGGGTAACAGGCATGAGCCACCATGCCCAGTCTAACCAAATCTTAAAGTTCTAAAATGATCTTCTTTGACTCCATGTCTCACATTCTCACATTCAGGTCATGCTGATACAAGAGGTAGGCTCCAACAGCCTTGGGCAGCACTGTCCCTGTGGCTTTGCAGGGTACAGTCCCCCTCCCGGCTGCTTTCACAGGCTGCTGTTGAGTGTCTGCAGCCTTTCTAGGCACATAGCAACAGCTGTCAGTGGATCTACCATTCTGGGGTCTGAAGGACAATGGCCCTCCTCTTATAGCTCCACTAGGCAGTGTCCCAGTGGGGACTCTGTGTGGGGACTCCAAACCCACATCTCCCTTCTGCACTGCCTTAGTAGCGGTTCTCCATGAGGGTTCTGCCCCTGCAGCAAATTTTGCCTGGACATCTAGGCATTTCTGTCTATCCAGGCATTTCCATACATCCTCTAAAATATAGGCGGAGACTCCCAAACCTCATTTCTTGACTTTGGTGTACCTACAGACTAAACACCATATGTAAACTTGCCAGGCTTAGGGTTTGCACCCTCTGAAGTAATGGCCCGAGCTGTACCTTGGCCCCTTTTAGCCATGGCTGGAGCTGAAGCAGTTGGGATTCAGGGCACCACGTCCTGAGGCTGCGTAGAGCAGGGGGGCCCTGGGCCTGGCCCAGGAAACCAGTTCTCCCTCCTAGGCCTCTCTGTGATGGGAAGGGCTGCCTTGAAGGTCTCTGACATGCCTTAGAGACATTTTTCCCATTGTCTTGGTGATTAACATTTAGCTTCTTGTT